TTGTAGACTGCACAGAGTTAGTGTGGTAAAAACAATAGTAGGGGCTGCAGCAAACACAAGTAGGCACTCCTCCCCAAAATCCCTACCTGCTCGGTGTGGTGCCTTTACAATTCGCAAGACCTCCTATACTCAAACATATTAGATGAATATGTTATAAAACATAATACCTTGAAATATGTATGAGTAACATGATTGTTAAAAATAGTTTATAAGAAAAATAAATACAACCTTGGCTATACATGGGAATCACCTTGGGAGCTTTAAAAAACACTGATGTCTGGCCCATCCCTGAAGAGTCACCTGGAGTATGGTCACGCATCAGAGCCGTAGTGCATGCAGGACCCCAATTTAAAGATACCCTGGGCTGTTCAGACAAGGTCCACCTTCCTGGTCTGTTGGTACTAAATGTAATATTGGGTGAACAGACGCATGAAGGTAAAAATACATACATATATATATGTATATTTGGTTCACTATACCATAAATTCACCTAGGCTGCGCTGTCCAGGACTTAGCCGTTCATTTATAATTGTAAATTATAAAGGAGCAGAGGTCATCTGATTGACTTAAAACCATGTGCGGTAGAGGGTCTGTGCTGGGGACTGCCCAGGCCGGAGGGGCTGGGAGGAGAGGATGGGAGGACCTGCGTGGTGGCACGCCTTTCCCTCCTAGGACCCGCCCTTTTTTAATGTCCATTTAAGGGGTTAATGACAGAGTTTGTAAGTTAAAGTACCACATGACTTTTTTTCCCCCTTTGTCCTTTTCCACCGAAAACAGGTAAAACCTTATTAGCCAAAGCAGTAGCAAACCAAACCTCGGCCACTTTCTTGAGAGTGGTTGGCTCCGAACTTATTCAGAAGTACCTGGGAGACGGGCCCAAACTCGTCCGGGAGTTGTTTCGAGTTGCTGAGGAACATGCACCATCCATCGTGTTTATTGATGAAATTGATGCCATTGGGACTAAAAGGTAGACTGTCTTTTACCTGTTTTGTATCCTTTAGAGGTAAAAACTACATAGCTCCTCTCTGATAGCGAACGATCGCTGGGCACACCCTATGTGGCCTGCACGTCGTGTTGCCAGTCCCTGCTGGACGTGGCTCTCCGTGGATGCTGTGGGCTCTGCTCTCCCAAGTACTGGGCAGCTGTGAATCTGGAGGTCAGTCAGTCAGTAACCAGCTTGAGCATCTGCTCGGAGCCAGGCACCATCTAGACTCTGGGGACATAGCCATGGACACACGTCTTTGCCCTCAAGGAGCTCACAGTCAGGTTGGGGGACACCAAACTTGAGGCAGAATAAATGATACAGCTTTCACAAAGAGAAGAATGCGACGTGTATCGTGGCTGTTGAGGAGGGTAGGACATACGGGTTGAGACAAGAATGCTGAGGTATTTTATTGTAATCCCTTTTAGCAGGAGATCAGTCGGATCTTCATCCCTTCTTTTCTTTTCCAAAGATATGACTCGAATTCTGGTGGTGAGAGAGAAATTCAACGAACCATGTTGGAACTGTTGAACCAGTTGGACGGATTTGATTCAAGAGGGGATGTGAAAGTTATCATGGCCACAAACCGAATAGAAACTCTGGATCCGGCACTTATCAGACCAGGTCAGATTTGCTTTTGTGTCATCATGGAGAATCATTGTGTTTATATGTATTTGTGTTCAGGTGTATTTTGGGGGATCATAAAAAGATACATATAAAAGGCAAATACTGCATTGAGACTTAGAATAACTTAAAACTATGTCCCCTTGGGGTTATAGGTAATATGCAATATAGTCTGTGCAGCTTGGTGCTTTGAACTCCAATTTTCTGTGATGTTTTCTTTTCCAAACACTCCCTGTTAAGCCTCAAGAATTTCCTTTTTCTGAAGAAATAATTCATATGATAGGTTAAGTTCATTTTTTACATTCATTTAGCACTAAAAGAAGCAGTTAACTTTACTCTCATCCTTTTGCACTAAATGTGCCATTCAGGAACCATTCCTTACACTTGTTTCTGACGGCAGCAGAGAGGGTTTCTTTTAAACAGATGAATTCAAACATGGAAACTTACAGACTGCAAAGATGAATGTTCACTTTTTAAGATTTGGACCTCCTTCCCAAAGGACACAAACCGTGTGCGTGGGGCGATGGCTTGGGCCCTCCCTTAGTGGGCAGGCCCGGGGCTGCCACTGACACCTTTGCACCTGCAGGCCGCATCGACCGGAAGATCGAGTTCCCCCTGCCCGACGAAAAGACCAAGAAGCGCATTTTTCAGATCCACACGAGCAGAATGACGCTGGCTGATGACGTGACACTGGACGACTTGATCATGGCTAAAGATGACCTCTCCGGTGCTGACATCAAGGTGAGACCCTGGGCCAGCTCTAGCTCTTGGTTTTACCACACCTGTGTACAGGCTGCGGTGTTTCTTCCCAGGTGACCAGAATGTAGAACAAGGCCTGGCAGCGCTGAGGCTGGGTACGCCCTGCTTTTTATGGGAGGACCTGGGTTTCCGCTGGGTGTGCATACTGTGCCATGGTTAGGAGGGGATGGCATGGCAGGCCTGGGGCCTTCTCCTGCGGCTGCCTGCGCTGAACTGCGTATCCTTGGTGTCTGTAGAACTAGATTAGTGTCTCTGCTTTTTGAAACAAAAATTTAATTTTGCACCAACTTCTTTTACTTTGAAAATTTTTAAGCCTTCAGAAAAGTTGCGACAATAGTAAACACCCCTATATCCATCACACCCATCAGCTCAGTTTACCAGATAATTGCATTTCCCCCGTTTGCTTTTACCTTTCTATGTGTGTACTTTCTTTTCTGGTGAACCATTTGAAAGAGCCTATGGCCATAACCAAATAGAAACTCAGTGCCAGGGTTGGTTTTTTATCACATAATATAGCATGGATTCTTGTTTTGTTTTACTTTTTGACAAGTAATTATTGAAAAGATATATTAAAATGAATACTGTACTGAAACTTGAATACATATTCTCTTATAACTGTAGTTAAGTGAAATGGACATAACACTTCATTGCCTCTGAATTTCTGGGTTTAATTTCACCTGTTGCTTAGAAACATCATTCCCTTTAAGGAAAGTGGAGCTGCTGGGCCACACAGCTCGTTGGCACCTGGCCAGTCTTCTTCCTTAATTACTCCTATCTAAGCCACCTCGGAGCCTTTGAGAAAATTACAGTGCTTAACACATTTTTAAAAATCTAGAGTGTTTTATACCGTATTTTAAATAACTCTCTCTGAATTGTTTGTTAGAGTAAAAATAGAGTATTTCACTTTCTGAACTGCTGTTCTTTCTTACAGGCAATCTGTACAGAAGCTGGTCTGATGGCCTTGAGAGAACGTAGAATGAAAGTAACAAATGAAGACTTCAAAAAATCTAAAGAAAACGTTCTCTATAAAAAACAAGAAGGCACCCCTGAGGGGCTCTATCTCTAGCAAACCAGTGACCTGCGGGAAAGTGGGTGGGAGAGCCCAACTCTGTGGAGGGGGGAGGTGGGGAAGTTGCTGAGGAGCCCATTCCAGTCACTCTCCATCAGCCACACCTCCTGTGCCGTGTATCCCTGGGCGTCCTGTGGAGGCTGCCCATGGGCAGTGCTCCGTTCCCAATAAAGCGTGCCCTTTCTCAGCCTGCTCCGGGGCTTCCACACCGCCGCTCGCAGCACCTGTCGGGGGGCTGGGTGTCAGGGAAGCTTCTGGGCAACCAACCACAAGAGGGCAGCCCTCAACACCTGTTGCACCCAGAGCTGGTAGCACCACACACCAGCCATCTGATAGTATTTTAGCAACAAAGGCTGTGTCCACGTGCCTGTGGCTTTGGAAAGAGATGGAGCTTCCCTTTCTGAAGGTGTGTGGGGCTCTGGGTTCTGGGTGCAGGAAAGAAGTACTGGTGCTGAGAGACTGGGGTTCCCTAGAAGAAATCTCAAAGGGTGAAGAGAGAACAAGCTTATACCAGCCTCGTCTGCCTTTTGGGATCAGAAACCTCATCATCCTCATTTCAAGAGTCTCTAAAAATGCCAGAGCTGCTCCTTTTCTTTCATTCTTGCACTTTTCTCTACTTTCTGACCTGTTCAGTCTTAAAGCCATTAAGTGCAGCAGCAAGTGTCCGCGGGGGTGGGGGTGCCCAGCCTCCTGTGGGCTCTTGAGGCTCTGCCCTGGGCAGGATCCAGCAAGGCCATGTCTTCCCAACCTAAGCCATGTTTCCAGCCACAATCCTCCATAACACTGGAGTTTCTGGGTGAGCTGCCAAAGAAATTTTTCTTAAAAGTTTAGAGATCATTTTTTTAAAGCTGGGGAGCTGGACCCTCAAAAACTCAAGGAGTGGTCAGGCAGTGCTGACGCACAGGGTAGGAAAGTACCTGGGGCGGGGGTGGGTCTGACAGGACGCTGCTGGCTGGCTCCCCGAAGCAGGGCCCCGCGTGTCTCCAGGCCTCCTTCCCACGCTGACAGCACAGAAGGGCCTGCGTTTCTGCCATGCTCCCAGGTGGTGGTGCTGGTCACAGGTGGACGCATCACCGAGGAAGACTTAGGGAGTAACAAGAAGCAATACACTTGGTACAGGCAGAGCATGGAGTTCTAAATTACTCCCTGCTGCTCTGTCCAAAAGGGCAAAATCTGCTTTTACTAACCAGCTCCACAGGAAGAGGTCCTGGTGGTAAGTAACCAGGCCTTTCTTGACTGCAAAACCCGTAAGACTTGGCAAGGGCCGCCATGGAGGCCAACTGAGCAGTGCCCTCACCATGGCAGGGCTGGCACTGGAAGGGCGGAGCAAACTCACCTACCAACCACAGTGGGTTTAGTCACGTGACCCGATTCTTCCCTACACGCACATGTATACAGATTCACATATATTAGAACAAGAGCTTTTGCGTCATTAACACATCTAAAAATGTGCACGAGGCATGAGACTGATGAGCCAGACACAAATTATCTAGAAAAAACTTTAAAAAGAGACCCGCTGTCGCACACGCACAGCACCGCCGCCTCTGGCGGCCCCGCCCCCGGGGGCTAGTCCTCCAGCAGAAGCTCCAGCTCCTCCGCCGGCAGGCGCACGCGCAGCTCCTTCTCGGTCATCAGGTCCAGGATCTCCTGCATCTCATCGGGGAAGTGCTCCACGGCGTCCATGTACAACACCTGGGGCCGGGAGAGCCACCGCCCCAGTCGGTCAGCCACGCGGTGTCCCAGCAAGCCCGCCCCTGCCGCCCCTCCGCTGTCCCCGCTTGCTCGGCAGCTGCTGGGCACTGCACTCCAAGGCCCGGTGAGAGGGAGTCAACCCAGAGTGGGACCCGGGGCGGTTGGCCGACACCGCAGTCACCAGCAGCTCCCTCTCTGAAGACCTGACCTGGGCTCTGCAAGGCCCGCGGGACACAGACCCCAGCACAGGCGCTTCCGGGCTGAACTCGGCGCTCGCTGGGAAACAGCCGCCCAAGCCACACTCCCCTAAGTGCCAGCTCCGCCCGGAGGCCAGACACGGCCGCGGGCTCAGGCTCCACAGGGCTCTGGGCCACCAAGAGGCCTGGGATGCGCCCCCGCAGAGGCACAGGCACAGGCCAGGCGCCCCTGGGTCCTTGGAATCTAAGGATGCCATGACCTGCACAACTCACCTTTGCCCAAGGACAATTCTGAAGCGCCTTGTAGAACACACCTTTGCTTCTTTCTTTATTTCCTAAGGAAACCTGAGATGGGGGAAGAAAGAGAAAAGTGATTAATTGAAACAGGCAGGCCAAGGCCATCGAGGCCACTGCTGTCCTGCCCCACACTGGCTCCTCAGGCGCAGATGGCCGGCGGGGCCATTCTCACAGCATGGGGGGGGGGTGCCACATACCATGTGACAGTCCCCCGGCCACTGCTGTGTGGGCTGGTTCCCTCCCCTTGAAGGACCAGAGTGCTGACCTTGAACACTTCTGCCTTGCCCTCCTCTCCTCCATCCCTGTGGGCGTTCGCACCTGCCATTACCAATGGTGCCTGGAGCAAGGCCGCGCGCGTCTGTCCGACAAAGCTGATGATGACTTCATATAAAGAAAGTTTTTGCTTGAACACTTGCCATTTTCTCAAAATGTCTCAGAGAAAAGGGAGAACCTGGATGGCTGAATTCGTAAAATTGAAAGGAAATCTCCAGTCAGGAATTTCCGTGGGAAGGTGTGCGGATACTCAGCAGGCGTGTGCTCTCGGTATGAAGTCCTTAGTCTCGACCCCCAGACACGCACACCTCCCACCCCACCGTGGGGGCCGGGGCTGCGTGCGGCACTCCCACGGGGGCCTCTCCCGCGTCCCAGGAAGGGCCCTGTCCCTTGGCCGCGCCTCCATGCCCTCAGCCTAGCTGGGCAGCTCCGCACGCTGGCAGGTGTCTGCAGCCGTTAGTGGGCACAAGCCAAGCTCCCGGAGCTGAAGTCTGTTAACGGAGTTTGCACCACCCGGCCCTCTAGCCTCCCTGTTCCCCCAGGAGAACCTTCGAGGGGACACCGGTCTCTCTCTGCCAGGTGGCTGGTGCTTGGCATCCAGCATGGCACCAGTGAGGGCTGCTGACCCACCTCCCAGAAACCCCGGTGATGGAGCCTACAGACGCCCCCATGCCTCAGGAGCTCTGCCTGCCAAGGTCGGCCTCCCTTCCTTTTTCTTTTTCCAGGTCAACTCCACAGTCACCAGCACTGTCACTCTGGGCTGTACCCAGCCTCTGTGACAACCCTGCCCCAGGCACGGCTCGGGCCTTCCCCTGCTCCCCCCGAGCCGCCACACAGAGCGGGCCTCAGGGCGGGGGGCTCCTGTCCTCCTGCGCTCCTGCCCTGGCGTGAGCCTCGGCCAGCCGTGCGGGGGCCGTGCCTCCGAGTTCACACCCCGGGAGCCAGCAGACTGTCCTCCCTTCGCACCCCAAGTGCTTCAACGTCCTTGCCTAAGACATGGACTGAACTTAAGACTTCCTCCCCTCGCTTCTGAAAGAAAGGAGGGTTGTATTGCTGTGCATTCTCAACCACTGTATCTGTGAGACTTGCAGACAATCCTGGGACCCAGCAAATCCAGGTCCAGGAGTTGGCCAGCCCCGAGTGAGACCGCACTCTGCGACTATCAACTGGCCACCAGCAGACACCTTCACTGTGTCAGGTATAGAAGGGTTCCAGGCCAGGTGAAAGCTTGGAGGTGACCATCGGTTTTCCCACTCAGGGTTTCGCACTCTAAGACACAGATTTGGATGCATCTCTTCCCCCTCAGTATAGCAGAGCCTCAAATGGGAAGAAAGGTTCAGGAGCACTACCCTGGCCCTCTACGTCCTCCTTCCACGCCTTCCAAGTGTCCCCGCCATAAGCGACCCTGACTCCCTGTAAAATCCCCAGCTCAGGACTGAAATCTAACAGTGGGTAACTCCCATGCACCCGATGACCCCACAGGGTCATGACTGGGCAAGAACGTGTCTCCTCAGGCGGACCAGGAACATCTTGGGGCACTAACTGGGACCAGGCATGAGGTCACAGCCACTGAAGGGGCAGAGCTGCTGCTTACTGGTCTCCACCCACGTAGGCCTCCGATGCCGCCAACAGTCTCCAGAACTAAGCCTCACACGCACCACATGAAGCACTTGGCAAACAAGACCCCATGAACAGACGACATGAGTCTACGGCAACGCGCTGGGGGCCAGCTGCCCAGACCTGAGCTGGGTGGCAGTTCCTCCCAGCATGGGCGGGCGGGGGCTGGGGGGGCTGGGGAGAGGGACAAGGGCGGTGTGGAGCGGCAGCTGCCCACACACCTTCGACGGCAGCCCGCATATTGCAGCTCTACATTCAGAGAAGCTGTCTGGTGCCTGCTAGTCGCTTGTTTTGGCATTTCGGTACCTTCTTATCTGTGCGCCTCCTCCACATGGGGGAAGCAACGTCTCTAAGAAAATGAGAAGCCTGAAGGTCTTCAAGCTTTTGCAAAATGTGGTTCTCTTTTCTTAATCAAGCATAAACAAATCTGAGTAACTGTTAGCTTATACAATTTTTTGAAAAAGTCATTTGACAAAATTGCTATCACGGCCTCCCCAAGTAAAAGACACATTTCTAGGATGCTTTTCTAGGGTCAGAGCACCCCTAAGAGCAGGCTGACCCCTTCCCCTGGAAAGGGGAACCGAAGAGGATCCCTCCCCCCACCCCCAGCTCCTGTAAGCGGGGGCCGTGCACCGTACTCTCACGTCGCCTGCTATCGGCTGAGTGGGAAGGAGTTACGGCGGAGAAAGTAAAACCCAGTGGTTCCAAGTTGGAAGTGGCACCGCTCACAGGTTCATATACTTAAATTTACCTCCTTATTGTGTAGGCAGATGACCAAACTGAAGAACTCTAATCGTCTTGAAAATAACTGTAATTTTAGCCAAAACAACAAAAATAGTTTGGCTGAAAGTGTTAATGGGTATACAAAAAAATCCCCTCAAAAAAACAGGCTTTAAACTGAGTTCCAACCTTAGTGGAAAATTTTAACTGTTTGTCCAAGTCCTTTTTTCCCCTGTATGCTCCATGGGCAACATTAAGTTTTAACTTCTTTGATTTTGTGGGGGGCGGGGGGCGAGCAAATACGCTTGCCTGTGTACAGCAGGCAGGTGCACGGAGGCACGCTGGAGGCACGCTGGAGGCACGGAGGCGGCCCTCGCCTGCCTCTCCGGGCACCCGCAGCCCACACCTTGCATTCCACCAGGCCTGGGTTTGCACTGTGTTCATCAAAGCTTCAGGAGCCCACCCGGACGCCTCGGGAGCTGGGGCGGGCTGCATGGCTCTAATGAACCTTTGAACCAGTGCCGAACTTTCCAAAAAGAAACTCCCTAAGGGCCCCAGGCTCCCGCCTCCCCCAAATCCACAAGAACTCTGTCTACAATCCAACCAAATATGGTTCAGCAGATTCTCAGTAAAAATACTGCAAGTTCGCACCTCACCTTATCCATCTCTGCTTATAAAAGACTGGAGAAATTAAACTGGCAAATTTTCAAGCTCTCCCTTTTTAAATTTAAAGGTCTCTTATCTGCTTAGAAGGACGCACAGAATATTAGTGCCGGAAATAGCGGGGAGCATCCAATCTGCCCCTTCCCTGGGAGGCCTAAGGACAGGAGTGGAGATTCGAGGGGAACCCTGTCCGCCTGGTGACCGCCCACTCTGCCACAGGCCGCAAGCGAGCCGCCAACACCACACCAGCACCTGGGCTTCTGAAGGCTTCCATTTCACACACGGGAGGCAAGACACAAATCCCAAGCTTTCAGGTCTGAAGAATAAATGTTAAAAACACACCAGCCTTGGCAGCGATCCACCATGATGCCAACGTCTGCCCACAGGATGTGCCCCTCTGCCCTGGGGGTGCCGACGAGCCGCTGGCCTGAGAGGGGCGTCCTCCCCCAGCGCTCAGGCCCTCGGGGGCCAGGGCTGGGAGAAGGCAGGGGAGGCCCACACCCGCCCTCGCCCAGAACTCACTCTCCCTGCATCTCTTCACACCTGCTCTGTCATGTCCCCTGGAAATGTTCAAATGCTTTGACTGACTTGTGAGAATTCATCCTACGGAAACAGTCAGAGCTGTACGTGAGATTTGTGTAGGAAGCAGGTCCCCACTGACTTCTGAAGGGACAACACCGATTGGCAGTCGCTTGGATGTGACTTGGCAGCCTTGAGCTAACACGACACTCAGGCGGCCCAGAAGACTGTGTCTGAGACAGCACGCCACGCGGCCGCAGGGTCACAGCAAATGCGGCCCGTCCCGACGCCCGGCCGTCGGCCGGGGCAAGCCCATGTTTGGCCTGCCTACGCTCATGAGCGGAACTCAATGCTGTCTCGCCACAGTCAATTGCCAGGTACTTTCAAGCAAAAACAAAGTTGCTCTGGAAATGTCCAATTTAAAAACCACGTTCTAGACAGAATCTTATCTTTGAAGGACAGATCAGGACCTGGAAACTCTTATGACCAAAATGGCCAAGAATTTAAATGTTTTTCAAAGGAAAGCTCATTGCCATTTCCAAGTTGTTGACTCAATGAAGTCAACTCAGAGACACCCACGTTGACTAGCGCATGCTGCACCGAACCATCCAGCAACTACCCCTCCCTGCCATTCCGCCCAGCACCCTGAGGGAGAGCGCAGCTGGCAACCCCTTCCCCAGCCCTGAGACCTGACATTCTCCACCTGCACGAAGGAGTGAGGTTAAGGGAGGCGCCTCCCGGCTTGCCCGGGTAGCTGCTGCTGGACACCCACACCTCCCCACTCATGAAAGAAGACGCAGAGTTCTGCATAAACACAAAAACGTGAAGTATTTTCTTACCAAAAAATTCAAATACATCCGCCACAGTAAGGGGCACTGGCTGCCGTGGTTGCTCCGAATCGCATTTTCAAACAGGGCTCTGATCCGGTGCGTCAAGCCGGTCTCGGGAATTGTGGCATGGACCTCCCTGCCATCTACCCTGCAAGACAAAGGCTCTGTAACTCCAGGACAAGTTCCCGCACCGCCGCCCCCGGAGGCAGACACGCGTCGGTGGTGACCACATCAGCCACAGCGGGGTCAGAGCTCGCTTGGTAGGGCTGTCCCTCAGGCCTGTGGGCGCTGCGGGTGCCGCGCGCAGACGTGATACGGCTCCTCTGAGGCCAGAGGAAGGCCGTGTCCTCGGTTCTGTGGCTTCTACACCCCAGTGACCCTGCCTACAAGTCACACATCACATCCTCGCTTCTCAGGAACCTAAGAGAGAGGTAAAATTGACTTGTCCAAGGTCACAAAGCTAGTAAATGGAAGAGCGAGGATTTGAACCCATAGTCCAGCTCCAGAGCCCGTGCTCTTACCCGCTATGCTTTCACTACAGCATCTCAGACACGTGAAGGCCTGAGAGTCACCACCCACGCACCGTAAGCCACATTCAGGATCGCAGAAAGCATGGCCTAGGAAGACAGCCTCAAATACCTCTAACGCAAAACGCTGCTACGTGCAGGTCCTGCGTTCCTCTTCCGATACGCTCTTCTGTAACACCTAAAACACCCACACAGGTGTGCCGGGCACGGGCCCATACTCGTCTCCGTGTTCCTGAGGCTTACAGGGCGCAGGAACGCGGCAAGCATTCCACAGAACTTGTGGACCCATGAACAAGGTGATCTGTAAATACCTCTGAATGGTTTCCACCAGTCTTTTCCTCATTCTCTCAGCTTCAATCGCAAACAACCAAGGCTCCAAGGGTTCTGCAGACCTGGTGATTGCATCGAAGAATCTTCTGGTCTTACTGGCACTGTGGGACTTGTTCTGGATCTGTACATACGACCTCCAAAGAACCTGGTTGCCCGGATACAGCTTCAGGGCCTCTGAGAGCGCCTGCCGCAGAGGAGCCAGAGGGTAGACGCTGACTTTCATGTGGAACCGGAACAGGCTCGTGTGCATCAGTGTGACGGCCTCCAGAGCACAGCTCGCGGCCTGGGGGCTGGCACTGTCCTCCGGGCCTGGGCCTTCGGGGGAAACGGGGCCCTTCAGTTTTGCAAATACCTCCTTGTATATCCGCTCAGCGGCATCGATCCCTACGGTCAAATACTGGAAGAGCATAAAGCATTTGACCACGCTAACGAGGCGGTCAAGGGAATCTGAGGCAGGTGCATTGGAGACACGGTTCTCACCCAAACAGTCCTGCAGCGCGCGTTCGTATGCCTTCCGAGCCTTCAAAATGTGAACGGGCAGGACCTGCCCGGCGTACGGGCCGTAGGGCCCATTCTCTGCCAGCCGGGTGAGTATGTGTAGGGCTCGGGCCGTGGCGGCGCCCCTCAGGTCTGGTGCCAGCTCCAGCTCCAGCTCCGCGTAGAGCAGGCTGAGCTCACAGACCTCCCGGTCCTTCAGTTCTCTGCTCCCTGCTGTGCTGAGGGCCGTGTCAAACACTTTTCTGGCGTCCTCTGTGTTGCCAAGCAACCATTCCAAATGTGCATACTGCTTCCAGAGGCAAAAATTGTTGCAGTTTTCTGGCTCCTTAAGGAGATTCTTGGCTAGTTTTTTGCAGTTCTTTCCTTGTGACTTTAATCTCTTCTTGTTTTTAGTGTGAAGACACCAAATGACCTGGAGGTAAGAAGAGAAGAAAGACTCCAAGTGCTCTGTGAATTTAAAGCAACCCCCTGTGCTGAGAAAGCAGCACGAGGCATTTGCCCTTCCTTCCTTCATCACATGCTTGGTAAACACTGGGGCTCTCTGAGCCGGGAAACAAATCAGGATTTTTACCGAGGCCACAGGAACCCCAAAATGAACACATCCGGGTTTTTACCTGAAACCTCTATAAACAAGGCTTAAATACCCTAAATGTTCTTCTTCAAAGAGAGGTGGCCACCCAATTTTATCCGACAATATTATTTTAATAATACAACCTGGTATGTACCATCCGTAGTTAAAGCGTCAGAATTTTGGGTATTAAGATTCAATACTACTTGTGGCCAGCAGAGGGCAGAGGAGTCCATCCTAGGCGAATTCCTAGCATATACACATATATAAAAAGAGCAGGGTATGTAGCTTATTTTGTCTACTTTAATGAGCCCCTAAACCTCTAACCTTGCTTAAGCTTGGCTCTTACACTAACAAACCACACAACCACAGGAACCTGGTAATACAAGAATCAACACAATTACAGCTCCTGTGTTCCTCTTTACTGTGGCTCCTCAGAAGGGCGGCCACACGCCAGGTGCCTTTAGGGTCCCCGAAGACGGAGGTGATGTGGCCCAGGACCTGAAGAACACCAAGAGCCTACGATTCCATTCATAAACACGGACACAAGAGGAATCCGCGGGCAGGGGAGGCGGTGGCTGGAGTTACCTTTGCAATCTCGTACCGTAACCAGGAGAAGCAGAGCTGAGACCGCTCCCTGCCGGAGAACAATGGCATCACCAGGTGGAAGATGTTGCGGACGAACTCCTCGCCCTCCCGGTTGTGACCTCTGGTCCAGCGCCGGCAGCCCAACTGGTCCGTGCGGCCGACACAGCTGACGCCAGAAAACGAAAGGTCGAGGGCGGTCAATGGCTTCTCATCATAAAGTCCGTGACTGAAGATGCTGTTCTCATCCATGGCCAGGTAACGGCAGGAGGCGGGAGGGCTGAAGCCAGAAGGCACGCCCAGGAACTGCAGAAAGGCGGCAATCAGCTGGAACCGAAGATCATGGCTGGAAAGTCGGATCAGAGACTGCCCAATATCATCAAACAGCACCTGCAATGAAGACAAAATAAAGTGACCTGTTCAGGGGCTCAGTTTATTTATTCACTGTGACGAACAAACAAAAAAGCCCTCACAATTATCCCTGTAATCCTTTGTATATGAATGTATAATGATTCAACATTATGCAACTTTAAACGGACAGGAGCAAGCTTTTCTCCAAGATGCAGAAAAGCTAGGTCTTGCCGGGTGCACCGGGCAGCCCTGGGGGCCGTGGGGTGACCTGGGGGCCCTGCGGTGCCATGAGGACGCCGGCACACCCCTGGGGGCTCTCGGAAGAAGGGAGGTCCGTGAGCGGGCTGCGGCCAAGCATTTTCAAAGTATCCTGTCGGACCCATCGAAGATCTAGAACCATACTCACTTCTGAAAGCACACACAATTGCTCTGTAGTTACGTGTAAATATTTTTTAAGACAGAGAAAAGAACTTGATTATTTTGTGGTTTCTGTGTACAAAACTGCTTCAGGAAATGAAAAATATGCTCAGAAATAGGTAAGCAGCAGCAAGGTAAGAAGGAAACTACAGGAACGACAGACCATGTTAAGAGCAATACTAAGAGCCTAACACTAACTGCAGGCTTCTATAGCTGAGTTCAGGTAACTACTTTAAAATGTAAGCCATGGAGGCTGCCCTTTGTCTCAAGGTCCTGCTATCTGATTGGTCTTTGTGGCTCTCAGCAAAGAGGAATGACCTAGGATTCAATTAATCCAAACCATCAATCAATCAGAAATCATCTCCAGGTTTTGAACAGAGAAAAAGCTAAGTGACAAGAAACTGCTCACAGCAGCAGTTTGCTCCAGAAAGGAGCTTCCAGGACACCGCCAGGATTCTGAGCCTTGAGAACAGGCTTCTGGAAGAGGGACGGACACTGTGAGACCCTCCGATGCCCCAGGGAGACCCCGGCCCTCCTGAACACCAGCTTCAGGCTGGAACGGGTGCTCCCGCGCAGGCCCACCTGCTAACACCCCCAGCAGGCGCCGGTGATTTGGCGGGGCAGGAGACATGCAGCCGTCTCCGCCCTCGTAACACGTGGGAGGCTCACAGGCACTCCTGGGCTAAGGAGCCACGCTACTGTGAGCACCTCCCAGTCTACACCAGCAGCACACTGCGAGCCCTGCGGTGCAACTCCCATCTTGTGAAACCAGGTCAATTCCAGGTATCAAAAAGGATCTTTTCACTTATTTTAATGTAAAACTCCCAGAGCTGCTGGCCCCTAGACAGAGTAGCATGTATCGAGCCACGTAATGGCAGTAAATAAGATAATGTAAGTTAAAGGCCTGGTGCACAACCAGCTGCAAATGCTACTCCCTTCCCCAGCCAGACGAGCTGTATATGGACTGTCCCTGTTCAGCCTCTACATCCAGTCCCTCCTGTCGTCTAGAGTCAAACCTGTCATGTTTCTGAAGATGCAAGAGTAGGGTGGGGAAAGTGGACACAGTTAAAGAATTTAGGACAGTGACTCCGTGTTTTCAAAACCCTGAGCCCTCCAACTTCTATGTGAAAAAGGAACTGAACAGCCTGGAAGACAACCGCCAGAGGGGTGACCGTGAGAGCCCCCCCATCCGGAGGCAGGAACCACCTGGCTGAGCGCCTCCCTGCTCCCCATCGGCAGCAGCCAATGAAAGTCTTCCCTGGTTTTCAGTAAGAGGAAGGTTTCCAGAGGCAGCAGCCAGGCCGTCATCCCCTCAGACAGGCACGTGCTCAGAGAGCCCACAGCCGCCCTCTGAGCCCCCAGAGCCCCGTGGGAACAGGGCGAAGGGGAAGCCCCGCGACTGGCGTCACCCCTGGGTGGCGCACTTGCCTGTCTCTCGGGGTCCTCGCAGTCTTCCTCCGTTTGCTTCCTGGTCTTATCGGGGCGCCACGGCCGCCAGTGCCTCTGGTCCCGGGACCGCTCCGCCGCCAGCCAGATCTGCCACCTGGGCAGCGTCTTATCTCTGATTTCCTGGTCGTCGTCTTCCAGCTCATCGTCGTCATCGTCTAGACAAGAACAAAACGTCAGCTCACCATCAACACCCAATCGACCCACATGCCAGCCACCACGCGGGCACCCGGAAGCCGTGGCAGGGGAGGCCCAGTGAGGCCCTGCCTCTAGTCACCGTCAAGGTCCCAGGAAAAACCGACAGGTGCTGGTGGAGTCAGATGATTCCCAAGGCCGTCATACCAAGTACCATGGGATTGACACACACTCAAGCACAGCCCTGACCAACAGAACTTTCCGTGATGACGAGATGTTCTCTGCCTGTGCTGTCTGCTGCACTGGCCACCAGGCACCCAGGACTTACAGGGCACATGAAATGCAGCTGGTTGAAGAAATGAATTCTTAGTTTTATCTCATTTTAATTAATTTGAATTAAAATAGCCACATGCAGCTAGTGGTTACTCTTGGCCAACACAACAGTTCTAGCACGCTAAGTGACACTGAATGACAACATTGGTTTAGACTTTCTTAAGTCATCAGAAGTTTTAGCCAGTGGCCTTATGGTCATAACCTATGCTCACTTTAAAAAACAAAAGAAAAGGTCAATTCAAGATATCCTGGATTGACATACTTTATCCTTTTGCGATATACTTTATTTCACTTTGTTTCCTAACTCTGAACATGGGGAATGGAAGAGGAGAAAAGTCTGAGCCATCTGCAAAGTTCCAATATTTAAAAATAAACAAACAGGGTGTATGTACAATGGTATAGCCCCTCGGAAAAGTCTGGCAGGTCTTACAAAGACCAAGCATGTGCTAAGCATAAGGCCCAGTAACCGCACTGCCGGGCACCGGTGCCAGGAAAACGACAGCCTGTGTCCCCGGCAGCCTGTCTACTAGTGCCCAAGGCAGCTCTACTGGCAGCCAAGAGCTCAATGCAACACAGACAAACTCTGGGGCCGCTACACCACGGAGCACCCCAAGCAATAAATATGAACGAACTACTGACACAGGCAACAACCTGGATGACTCTTGGAGGAATTATGCTAAGTGGGAAAAAGCGAACCTTAAAAAGTTACGCAGAAAACAAGTGCTGGCAAGGAGGTGGAAGGGCCCACAAGGCCTGTGCAGTGCGGGTGGGAGTGTCAGATGCCGCAGCCAGTGTAGAAAACAACCCCGAGGCTCCTCAAAGAAAGAAACAGAACCGCCACGATCCAGCAGGTCCGCTTCCGGGTGCACACCCGGAGGACCGAGGGCAGGGACTCAGAACGCGTATTTGTACATCCATGTTCACAGCAACACCTTTCACAGCTGCCAAAAAGGCGGAGCAACCCCAGTGCCGTTGACAGGTGAATGGATAACACACGGTGGTATCTGCCTACAGTGTATTATTTTTCAGTCTTACAAAAGAAGGAAATAGTGGCCCGTGCTACTCACTGGAAGAACCTTGAAGTGAAATAAGCCAGTCAAGGAAACAACAGACGGTGTATGACTCCCCTCACACGAGGACCCTAAAGCAGTCAAAGCCACTGAGGCAGAAGCGAGTGGTGCTGGCGGGGGCGGGGGCGGGGGAGCAGTTTCAGCCGCAGCAGGCGGGAAAGCGGAGGCTCCGGCCAGGAGTGGGGTCCGGGGCGCAGCAGCGGGAATGCCCGTCAGTGCCACTGGACTGTCACTCAGAAACAGCTAAAATGTCAAATTTCATGAATAATTTACAATAAAAAACTGCTTTAACAACGTTACGTGACCTGATTCCGTTTATGGGACAAACGTGAGATTAACATAACAGAAATGGAGAAGAGATGAGTGGTGCCGGTGGGCGGGGTGCGGGTGGGGGAGGGGACACGGATAAACCGGCACAGCCCGCGGGAGCCTCGCGGGGCAGAACCGGGCTGTGTGTGGACAGCAGCGGGGGCTACACGCAGCTACATGGGGGATAAAACTGCACAGTGTCACACACAGGGGGCGGTGTGTGACACCTGAGCAAACTCGGTGGGTCTCAGCCACGCCCTTCCCTGGCTGGGACCCCGCGCCACTGCGCTGTCTTGAGGGGGCGGGGCAGAGCTTCCTGCGAATCCTTATTTCAAGATAAACAAGTAACAAACAAAAAACCTCCAAGAATGTAAGTGATATGTGTGTGTTAGTATTTTAAACCCACTATTCTATCTTAACACTCCTCTGAATTCCTCAAAGAAAACTAAAGTTTAATTATCACCTTCTTCTAATAATCTACATTTAAAGTAGTCCTTAAATCATGCTGAAAAATTCTTAGCATTAGAGAAATTACTCCAGTGAGTCATATGTCAGAGCTAGATACCTGAATTCCTTACACTAGGAATTCAAAAGATTACATGGTTTTAGAACGACACATGCATAGTAATTACAGGCAAACAGGAAGTGATATGGTACGAAAGGAATGAACTGCGATGTTATCAAGGAATACCTCAGAATCCATGTTAATCCCAACTTCTCTCCAAACGCCAGCCTTGTGAGGAAGGACAAGAGAACTGAAAACAAAACCGGTTACCAACTAGTTTTCTGGAAACAAGAAAACTCACAACCTCTTCAGACCCTGGAGCTCTGGAGGACACCCCCTAAGTTCAGGGGAAAGATATGCACTGAATTCCTCAAGTTCAGCAGATGCGCTCTCGCGGGAACGTCTGACAAGCCTGCTGGGTCCGCGCGCAGCAATGCACGTCCCCAGCTTGATAGTAAAAGTCTAGGCTTTGATCCCTGCACCGCCTCACCAAGAAAACCAGCGTCATCTCTGACAACACGCGGCTGCTGGGCGCCCGCATCAGAGACGGGACACCAGCTCAGTCCCTGGGCACCGCCACCTCATTCACTCCGCACCCTCACAGAAAGGTCAGATGCGGGAAGTGGCAGAACATGAGTACCGTGCTCTGCGAGTTTCACTCATGAACAAGAACAAAACAACAAATCTGAAAACAGAGCCATGCTGAGCCGGTCACTCAGAGAAAGAAGAGGTCCTACCAAAAAGTCCTCTTCCCATTTGGCCCTTCCTGGGGCTGTGCAGGTGCAGCAGCCGAAGCGCGATGCTTCCACTTTGCCTGCAGGTGCTGGCTCTTCACGTGGGAAACCACCGGTGCCTGAACCACAGCTCCAGGTCGCGGCGGGAAGGAACGCTCACGGCCCAAGCGAGGCCTGGCCGCCGCCTGACGGGCCGCCCAGGGCACGGTCCCCCGGACACCCCAAGGGCCCAGTCTAAGTGGTGACCGATGCGCCACCGGGCCCGGAGCTCCGCACTGCCCCGCAGACCATAGCCAATCCAAAGTTTCCATCTCTCAGATGAAGGAACCACGGCCTAGCCAGGTGACAGGCCTGTGAAAAGAGGGCGGCCGAGCCTGGGCGAGGGGCTGGTCTCCCGAGTGCCCACCCACCGCCCTTTCTCCCTCACACTGTCCCAGAAACCGCGTGAGCGAAGCCGTTCCTGAACAGCTACGAGCTGGACCAGTCGCTGCGGCAGCCCTTAACGTGTGGCCACGGGGCCCCTGAAGGCGGTGGGTCTGAGCTGAGATGTGCTTAAGTGGGCAATACACACCAGATTCCAAAGAGCTCGTACGGGGCGGGGAAAAGGCAAAATGCCTCATTAGTTTAATATTGATTAGATGTTGAAATGTTAATGCTTTGATATGCTAGATCAAACAACACATTATTAAAATTAACTTCGCTTGTTTTCTTTCTGCTTATTTAACGTGGCTACTAGAAAATGTGAAGTTACACATGGCTTGAATTGCACTTCTATTGGACAGTGCTGCTTGAGAGGGTGAATGCTAGTTAATAATTATTTTACAGTATTCCTTAAAACGCAAGTATTTTTCAAAGGATCTGGATATTGCCAAGAAAAGGAAGGCTGTCTTAAATACACACTAAAGTGGAGATGGGGTGGGGGGATTAGTAACAAGGTTGGTTCTTCAGGAGCAGCCTATAAAAGGAAAAATATTTCCTATGGGAAAAAACTCAGACCCTCAAAGCATTATGTACTAAGAATGCGGGGCTGACCACTTCCAAAGCTCTAGTCAGGGGTGTCCAACCTTTTGGCGTCTCTGGGCCACACCGGAAGAAGAGTTGTCTTGGGCCACACATTCAATACATTGCAACACGTAATCACAAAATATCTCCTAATGTTTTAAGTAAATTGACGATTTTGTGTTGGGCCGCATTCACAGCCGTCCTGGGCAGCATGCGGCCTGCGGGCCCCGGGTTGGACGCCCCTGAAGGGAAAGAAGATGCCTGTTCTCCCAGGACAGCTACTTAACGTGCTTCTGGCATTTTGATGTTTGTTCAGTGTTCTCAGACTACTGATAAACAGCTTCTATGTATAAACAAATACGAAAACGTACACACAAATCCCAGAAGGACTCACGCGCGCGGGGAGGCACCTTACCTGGGCTGATGACCACCCAGCCGCCCCGCTCCTGCTGGTGCATCCAGGCCCTCCAGCCCCGGGCGCCCTTCTCCCCGGGCCGGGGCTCTCCGCTGTCCCAGAAGGGCTCGAAGAACTCTACCTGTGCAGACGGAAAATGCCGCGGTTACCCCAACCTGCACAGAACCGTCGAGTCACTGGGCAGAGCAAGCCCTACCGGCACGAGAGGGCCCGTTCCTGAACCCCTGCCTGTCGGCCCCTGCGGTCAGTCTACAACCTGCAGCCCGAAACAAAAAATACGATTACCTCGTGTGGAAGGAGCCTCCGTGGCAGCCCCCACCCCGCTCCCCCGCCTCTGGGATTCACACCCTCTGGTATGGGCCGGCCCTAGAATATGGCCAAGAAGAGATGGGGACGACACTTCCAAGACTGGGTGACAGAGCCTGGCCGTGGTGAGAGAGGCAGAGCAACATGGTTTCCCGGCTCCGACCTGGCCGGCCAGTCTCACAGGGAGCAGCGGCGAGGCCGGGCCCCCGAACACCCGACGTCCTGTTGCCTTTAAGGCCTTTTCAGGGGCAAGGGATTGAAGGTTTCACCGGGACAGACCCTGAGGTCTTGAGGACAGGGCCACACCTCCACCACCTGGCCCTAACACCGGGCACGGTGCCCCACACCTGGTAGGGACGCAATGCGTGCTCGCTGGCACAGAGCTGAATGCAGCAGGCACCCAGTGACTAAAAAGGTCTGCATGTGAAAGCCCGGCCCCCTTCATTCACCAGGACACCATTAGCTCTGCCGTCCAGTTTGGCGGCGAGAAATCACGCCACATGGAACAGAATGAGAACCAAGCAAGGACAGGAAAGTGATCATGTTATCAACCAACAATAAGGACTTTAAAAGAGCACCAACAGCTTGCTGAATGAGAGCTTTGTAAGCAACCTTTCGAAGAGGACGAGCAGGCTTCCGGCAGGCACGCCGGGCCAGGAGCTGCGGGGTTATCTGGCCTGCGCCCCGGGCCGGCCTCGTGCGCCGAGAAGAGGACGGCATTGGGAGGGCCACGGAGGGCAGAGCCATCGGAGGGCAGAGCCATCGGAGGGCAGAGCCATGGCCAGGCAGGGCCCTGGCGCTGAGTGACAGCGGCCTCCTCAGGAAGGGGGCTGGGGAGGCCACACCCCCTTTTTACAGGTTTACTCTTACAGGAGGGAGGGCAGAAAGCGCACTCAAGAAAAGGGTGTTTTTTAAAAAGTGCGACAAGTGGTTAAAACCAATTTATTCCACAGACCAATAATACCAGACTATTTATGGTAACGATGTCTCTTAGTCATGAAGATACAGAAAGTCCTTAAATAAAAAGCTTATTTCCAAGCTGTCATGTAAATACTTTGCAATTATATGTGCTATTAGTATCTGAAACCTCAAGAGCTTGGATCAGCTCTGCGGACTCGCCAGCGGTGTGGCTCCCGATGCCCCACAGCCCCAGCCAGTGCCCGCTGCCTGCCCTACAGGTAGCAGCTCTCGGCACAGGCAGTGGGCGCCAGCAAAGGGGTGGGCACACGCGCCGCCCCGATCCTGACCCCGACCCCCAACCACACATCCCACACTCCGCCGGGCTGGCTAAGGGTCACTTCCGTAGCGCAGCATATCCTGAGGACAGCAAAATATGTCTTAAAGTAACTGCTGCCTGGCTTGTTATACTAATAATCAGTTCTACCAATATTCTTTAACAGAATTTTGTCTGGGAAAAAAACAGAAAAAACTAATGATGATAAAAAGTCTTTAGAGGCAATTCACAAAAATTCCACAATATGGAAACCTCCGCCTCCTAAGAAAGGCCTTTGAAAGATCGCCACGAATTCAGATGTCCTATCTATCTCCCAGCAGACCCTCTTTGCAGAATAGGAAACTGAGTTTTCTTCAGTGGAAAAAAGAGAAAAGAAGGCTTTCGTATATGAATAGCCCTAGGATAAGGTTTTCTTTACTGCCTTACACCACGACTGTCGGCAATGCTCACTTCTCATCCGAATGGTGAGCCCCTCGCCCAGCCAGCACTGGTGCTGCCGAAGTGCCAGCAGGTCGTCCCACCTGCGACCCCAGCAGCATCTGAGGCAGTGGAAGGGTTAGTGGGGGGAGTGGCCCAGGACCCACAACAGAAAGGGGGGCAGAGTGACACACGGTTTAAAAGGCACAACAGTTTTGCTGGCAGGTGGGCATAACCAGCATTTAAACAAGGACCATAAGAAAAGAGAAAAAGGGACACAAGTGAGTCTCTGTATCTGAGGGGAGGGTCTTCTTTCACCCGCCACGGGCTACTTTCATTATGGAATTTTCCTTGGATTTCTAGGCTCTTCCTGAGGAATAGTCCTCGGCAGGTCTGATATAAAGGAAGGCATACAATTTTAAAAATGATACCATCACCTCCCCTGATCCTTACCTCCCCCACAAAAAGAGAGATGAGGGAAGGGGAGGGGGAGGGGGAGGGGGAGGGAAACGGCTGCACCTGTCCTTTGGTGGGCAGATCTTTCACGCTGTCGGGCTTGAAGAAGGTGAAGTCGACCATGGCCTGGAACAAAGAGACGGCCTTCTCGGCGTGACCGGCCTGGCGCAGAAAGTGGCACTGCTGGAGGAAGAGAGCTGAAAGCAGGAAGAGCGGGGGGAGCCCGGTTAACACCCCTGAAGGGGAAGAACAGCACTCCTGAGGCGCAGTGAAGCACGAGAACACCTTCCCCCTGAATGGGTTACTGTTGCATCTTCACAGCTGTAATGCTTACATGACCTGATTTAAAAGGACTCACAACAGCACTGTAATCGAAGTATACTCATTCTAATTTTCAAATGAAACCACCGCAGAACACAAATATGAACAGTAAAAACTACATGTATGTAAACATAAGGCAAGAGGTTGGTCTAAAAATTGGTTATCAAAACTCAAAGCTCATTATCACAAGAAAAATTCTAGGAAAAGGATGGCGTAGTAGATTTTCTTAATGAGAAAGCCAAGATCTGTATCCTATTGATCACTAGATGGCATTATTCGCCGGCAATTTTCATCATAATGCTCAGAGTCGGCTATAAACAAATCCTGGTTCCATGTTTGAAAATTCTAGTCGGCCTGAACTGTGGTACAATTCCATTTACTAAATAACATGAAGCTGTGTGAGCGCGTCACAAGCGAGGTCAAATACCAGGCTCTTTATGTCGGTGTGGTGAACGCTCATTATTTCTAGAGCAATATATTTTTATCTTTAGAAGTTAACTGTAATAAAAGGGTTTTGATCAAATAACTGCTTGACACTGAGCTAGACTCTCTACATGCTATCTCAGGTCATGTGCACAATAATCCTGCAAGGCAGCTGTTGTACTAGGGTTGCTGAGGGAGAAACTGGAGCTCCAACAGGTGAAGGATCCTATCTAAGGTCACACCAAAACCAACGAAGGGCAGGCCCAGGGTTCCGGTCAAGAGCAACATTCTCTCACTCCTGTGTAACGTGCTGCCTCTGGTATTTCATTACCGGACAAAATTTATACGCCAGGCTCCTTCGGGACACACCAAAAATGTTTACAGTGTACTGTCCATAGCCTAGACATCTATGCAGTGACTTCCCATCGGTGGGGGCACCCCACCAGCATCGCCACCTGAATCCCGAGCACCGGGGGAGACGAGCGGCAAAGGCGTCACGATGGACAAGGCCGTGGGCAGCCCGGGCGGGTCAGACCCTGACCGCACCTCCCACGTTAACAAGGAGAGAAGCTGGGCTTCTCCACCAGGACGCCACTCACTGCCTCTACATGCCTCCTCCACCGCCACCACAGAGCTGGAGCGGGGAGGGTCCGCTGTGACCAAGAGGGGTCATGGTCGTTTATTTCTTGATGAACCAATTTTATCAATTTATCAATCAGGTTTATCAACTTAAGACTTTCCTAAAATAAACTGAAATAAGTGTTCATTTTCCACGACAGTCGCAAGTTCAACGCCCCCCCTGGCAACGGGCCTGGCCGCCGCCTCCTTACCGAACATGGCCCCCTCGGTGCCAGGCAGCTCGGGGTGCGACAGGATGCTGCCGTCCTTCACGGCCGACAGGGTGCTCAGGCATTTTCCGTAGAGACTGTGGATTTTTGATACTGAAAAGGTGCTGAACTGGCTCTGGCAAAATAAAAGGTATTTCTGCCAAAGGGCTGTGTTGTTGGGGTGCAGGAAGATCAGCTTCTGCCACTCCTTGAGCAGCGTGGAGGGCTCCCAGAACTCTGCGCAGAGCTTCAGCTTGGCGAGCTTCAGGTCCACGCTGCTCTGGTTGCTCTCGATGGCCCGCTCCAGGATGGCCAGCTTCTTCTCCAGAATGAGCTTCAGGGACCTCTTGCGCTTTTCCTGCCCTCCTTCCTCGATGGCGTACAGGCCAGGGCTTTTCATGACCTCATCCTCAACAAGAAAGAGACCCATTTAGATATGCAAAGGGGTCGGGGGCTCCTCCAATTCTGCTCATCACGTTACTGACGGGCCCCACAGGGTACCTCGCCTCTCACAATGAACTGCTATTCAGACCATCTTGATAACCACTGTTTATCACAATTTCTTCTAATAGAAACTCAGTTCCCCGGTGCTGTGTCATCTGGCAAATTTGATCTTGTGTTTATTTACCTACCCACTCTCTGTCATTTAACACGTAGATCTACATATAAATAACTAGCATGCAATGCCTTGAAAACCTTTTCTGAAGAGTCAACTTTAACATTAAAACAGACAAATGTGGGACAAAATACAGTTGTATTAAGTGGTTTAAAAACATCCGTGGAACTAGGAGAACCCATGTATCACGAAAAGGAGCGCAGAGCGGTGACCAGGTAATTCAGCAAGCAGCCCCGCCCTCTCCCTGCGCACCCGGCGAGCTCTGGCTGTACCCCTGCAGACCCCTCTGCACAGTGACCATCTCCTCTTCTTTCCAGATTCTCTCCGAATTCCACCTTCTCTCGGAAGCCCTTTCTTACTCCTGCCTAGGGCAAGTCCCTCCCTCCTCCATCCCCAGATTACACATTGAAGCATCTGCAGCCCCAGAGTGCACGTATTCTTCACACGTGGCTTCTCATCGCACGCTGGGCAAGCCCAGGGCAAGGGCTACATTCCGGTGATCCCTCCCCTGCCCAGAGCCTGGGTTCCTCCTTGGAAGGAGCTCCAAGAGTCCCGCACGGCGCATCACTTTGCCCAAAATGAGCACTGCCATGCTAAGTGGGGTGAGAGAACAGGGACAGCGATACTTACCTGAAAAGCAACGAACGCCATCCACAGCTGAATATCCCGAGGGTTTTCCCGCACCCTCCTGTTAAACTCCTCCACCTTGGCCTTGAGAAGCACGTCCTCTCGGTCTGGCTCTACGACTGGCTGCTTTGATTCCTGCTCTGAAGGACCCTGTCCCTGTAACCACTGCGTGGTGGACTGATCATAAACCCCCAGAGGGTTCAGCCAGGTTTTAACAGGAGGAGTCACGTCATCTGGGCCCTTCACTGGGATAAACGACAGTGGCTCAGAGGAGGGAGGTTCAGCCTTACTGCTGACAGCAACTCCATCCGCGTTCATCAGTCCCACGTTCTTCTTCGTAAAGTAGCGCTCGGCGTGCTTGTGTGAATGCTTCTTTACCGTGGAAGCCCCCACCCAGGATATACACTGCTTCTTAGGGTTAATGCCCAGGCAGGAGTCTCCTTTCCTCTTGTACCTTGTATTTGAGAAAGAGAAAAAAATTACTGAGGGAATATGTGCACTAGCTCTGAATGAGTGAAAGCTCATGAGACTTAAAACACTTGTTATGCAAGTTAACTGCATATATTCAAATTCACCTTACCTTCAAATTGTTTCTATTTAGAGAAGTATGAGGATTAGCAATTAACTTTCTCTGCCCCTTTGACTTATTCTTCTCACACTTCCGAGTCCTCATTACGGGCTCATGAATTTATGATCACGCCTGTCTTCTAGATCTTGGTGATTTATATTTTCCCGGAGCTTCGTAGTTCAAGTACTGTCACCTACACTACATCACTTGACCATCACAATCACAGATGGCAGGCGAGGCAGAAATCATCACCCCCTTTTACGCTATTCCTGAAGGAGGCCACTGAGACCTCAGGCGACACTAAGTCCTCTGTCCTAGAGCAGTCCCTTTCCCTCAGCCCTGTCCTGCGTCCCCACTTAAAAAGATAACATGTAGGTCTGAGATTCTTTTTTTAATCCTGAAACAAAGTATGTCAAATAAAATTACATCTGGCTATTTTCTACTCTAGGGGAAAAGAGGCTGGGTTCTAAATGCTTTTATGGAACGTGTAGGCGTCCCCGGAGTTACAAACACATGACTACTGAATATCTGCACAAAAGCTCAGGAAAATTGTGCACTTTTCTGTATGTATGTTATATAAACAACCCAATTTAAAAATGGGCAGAAGATCTGAACAGAATTCACAAAAGAAGACATGAATGGCCAAAAAGCACATGAAAAAGTGTTCAACATCATTAGTCATCAAGGAAATGCAAATTAAAGCCACAAAGAGACACCACATACCCACCCAAACAGCTAAAATTAAAAAGAACGACAACACCAAATGTTGGTGAGTGATCTGTGGAGTAACCAGGACTCCCATATGCTGCTGATGGGAATATAAACTGGTATAATCACTTTGGGAAAAAGTCTGGCAGTTTCTTTTAAAAACTAAACATATTCTTGGCTGGCACAGCTCAGCTGGCTGGGTGTTATCCCGCAAAGCGAAAGGTCACTGGTTTGATTCCCAGTCAGGGCACATGCCTGGGTGCAGGCCAGGTCCCTGGCTGGGGGTGTACAAGAGGCAACTGATCGATGTTCTCTCGCACACCGCTGTTTTCTTGCCCTTTCTCCTCCCCCCCCTAAAATAAATAAGTAAATAAAATCTTTAAAAAGAAAAAAGAAAAACTAAAGACAGCCCTACCCTATGACCCAGCAATTCTATTCCTCAGGTATTTACCCAAGAAAGAGGAAACCGCATGGCACACAAAGACCTGGCACCCGTGTGCTCAGTAGCTTTATTCACAGCAGCACAGCACTGGGACGCGGCCAGGCATCCGCCAACAGAGGAATGAAAAGCAAACGGTGGTAAATGCCACAGCGCAGATGAAGCTCAAAAACATCTCGCTGAGCGAAGGAGGCCAGACACAAAAGGGCACACACTAAGCAATTCTTTCTCCATGAAGTTCTAGAATAGACAAAACTAATTGATGGCGGAAAAAATGAGGAGGGCAAAGGCCTCTGAGGACGTGGAGTGTGGACTGACAGGAAAGGAGGAGGAAACTTTTGGGGTCACAGTGATGTCCAACATTTTCAGAGGTATGGGTTAGCCAGGGGTATGCCTGTCAAAACTCAGCAAGTTGAGATCTATATATTACAACATATGTAAGTGTTAAATCAAAAGAAAAAATGCAACAAATCCTGCCCTCTAGTTAATGGTATCCATGTTGAAGTATTTAGGGAATAGTATATTGATGTCGGCAATTTACTTGAAAATACATCAAAAAATAAGATGGGTTTCCCTGGCCAGACAGCTCAGTTGGTTAGAGGGTCGGCCCAATATGTCAAAGTTGCTGGTTCGATCCCTGGTCAGGGCACATACAAGAGTCAACCAATGAGTGCATAAATAAGTGGAACAACAAATCAATGTTTCTCTTTCTCTCTCTCCCCCACCCCTTCTCTCTCTCTCAAATCAATAAATAGAAATTTTAAAAAAATAAGGAGGGTCGATGAAAGAATACACAGATATATGATAAGGCAAGTGTAGTAAAATGGTAGAATGCAGGGGGTGAGTGTATCAGTGCTCACTGTAAAATTATTTCAACTTAAGTCGTATTTCTTAAAATTTTCATCATAAAATGAGTGGAGAGAAAACAGCAGGACAGCTCCGCTGCCATCTCTGTCACCTCCTGGGTGCTCTGCCTCCAGCCTGGGCCCCCGCGGTCGGGCCCACACTGCCCCTGCTTCTGAGCAGGCGCCTGAGGAGCTCCCAGCTTGCTGTGCCTCCCGCCGCCCCCAGCTGTGAGCTCCGCCCCGGGACAGGGCCTCACACAGGCACTCAGGCGCTGCCGCCCGAACCCTTTCTCTTCATCCTCTCTCTCCAGTCCATTTATGAGTCAAAAAGAGCCTTAACAGAGGGGGAGGAGGTAAGACAGTGCCACGAGAGCTCTGAATAAACCTACCACTCCCTAAGGGACAAATTTTAGTTTTGTTCTCCTTAATTGCTATTTTATTTTCACTAAAAATGAACAGTATTTTAGATATTCATACAATCTCTAAAAAAAAAAATGTACTGAGTTTTCTGAATTAAAAACTGCATTTTGTAAATATGTAATAGCTCCATTTCATAATAAATTAGGTGAAAATGATAAAGGGAGAAGAAAGAATATTACAGATCCATATTATTATCTACCTTCAGATGTTTGTATGTATAGATTTTTATGGATATATACACATTCTCTATTAAAATAGTTGCCATATAGCTTCAGGCTCTCCTCATTTTTAAGCTCTTCCCCACACCAATAGTCTTAAAAAAATAAATTTTATTGGCTTCAGACTAGTCCATTGGAGTGGTGTGTCATAATTTATTTAACAATTTCCCTACTGTTAGACATTTAGGTGGTAGACAACTTATCATTTATTATAGAATCTTAATAACTGGACAGGACCTAAGATATGATTTAATTCAATATTCTCCCAAATGAAGGTACTTTTTCTATAAAATCCTAATCAAATAATCAATAAGTCTTCACTTGAATAACTCCAGAAGTGGGAACCCCCACTTTGGAGGTTGAGTAAATGATATCATATGGCCATTTATTTAAATAAACTCAACTACAGGCACTTGGCCACCAAAAGAAAGGGAAACAAGGAAGGAGGGGAGAGAAGGAGGAAAGGAGGAGAAGAGACAAGAAAGGAATGAAAAGAAAACCAAAAAAAAAAGAATAAAGAGGAAGAGGGTACAGAAGAGAACAGAATGAAGTCAAGCACACAATTCTGCCCTGAACCCACTCAGTGGGACTGAATTCCAAAGTGAGCCGGGCTGGGCACAAATCCGCCCTTCCTTCGGCGACTTCAATTCACACGCGCCTCTCACAGTGCCCGACTGCCTGGGTCCAAATCCCAACTGCAACATTTACTAACTGGGTGACCTTGATCGAGTTATTTAAAACAAAGAAATCTGTGCCTCGGTTTCCTCGCCTGTAAAATGGGGACGATAATGGTTCCTATGTCACAGAATTGCTGGGATGATCAAAAAAGTTCATATACGTAAAATTCTTATCCATATATTAAGAGGTAGGTAACTTTAAACTATTATTATTTTATAAAACTTGGCTCCAAAACATAAGCCAACCATTTCACCTGGCGGAGAGCCACAGAAACCACCCATAAACTTCCCTGGCAGCACCTTCGTCCTAAGGGGTTTTCCAACGTAATCCTGACTCCCTCACGTGTTAACGGTGCAGCTAACCTCTGTCTGCCACCGCGCTGCAGCACACAGCTCCTTGCTGCGGGGACGCTCACACTCCGCGGCCTGCCTCTGCGCACGACGGACCAGGCTTCCCAGGGCTCCCTCTCGTTCGTGCCGGCTGTGCCTTCCCAGTTACACAGGACACTGCCCAGCGTCAGAGTTTCCAAGACACCGGCCTCGTCCCCACTGGGGCCGAAGAGCCCCCAGCCCTCCGCTGGTCCCCACGCATCAGAGCTGGCCACGTCGTCTGCCCACCTCCCTCTCGGTGCACTCGGTTTGTCAGCGACCCCCTCCGGGTGTGACAAGTCTGCACCTGGCACAATATTCCCGCTGTCTTCTGACCGGCCCGGAGCACCATCGGGCCAACACCTCCCTAGGCCTGCACACTGACAGCTGTGCAGTATGAGGCCAGGCAAGACTTCCCTCCGTAAGCTTCTACAAGTTACTAAGAAACTGCAGCAGTGCCCTGCGGCAGTATTTCTGCAGTTTAGGTTAATGAAGTTATCACCAATTACGCTCCTCCTAAGATCTGGGCCATTCATTAGCAAAGGCTCAAGAGCTACTCATTGTTAATGTGTTTTCCTTCGTTCATCGATTTCTAAATAATAGCGCTTTATAGTTGCACACCAATTTCTAATTCCAAATCAAATATTTATGCTATTTGAGTGTGAGGCAAGGCCAGAGTTACAATTCCCAAACTGTAAATGCGAAACAGAGGCTCACACGGCTTCAGTGACTTGCCTGGAATTATCTGACTAGCAAATGGCAAAGGCAAAATGAGAACCAGTCCTGTTTCCCAGTCTAGAAAATGCTCGACACTGTAACTGTCTCATCGGTGGACAGTGAAAGAACAAGTGAAGTCAGAGGAACACAGGTTCAAATCCCAACTCTGCGCTGACAGGAGCATGACCTTGAGAAGTCACTGCCCTCCCTGAGGTTCCCTTCCCGCAGTCGTGAACTGAGGACGTTCTCCGCCGCACGGAGCACCGTGAGGAGAGAGGTTGCCATGAGTGGGAGGGCAAGCTCGGCACCAGGGCGCACCCTCCGTGACCTGTCCATGTTGGATGGCCCGCCACTGTCACGGAGCGTCCACCACATCGGCGGCACTATGCTGTGGTGGCATGGAAAACCAACAAGATTTTTGAAAGAATTAAAATAATTTTAAAATAGAAGAATGCATTTTAAATATAGTAACCATTTACTAGCAGCCAGGAGGCTTATTAGGTAACACATGGATATAAATACACGCTGAAAAATAACTAAGATACTCACCGTAAAGAAATGTCTCATTGGAATTGCTTACGGGGTGAGATATGATGTCATGAGTGAAAACAGGGTTAAAATTTGGAGGTGTGGCAAAGCAATGGGAACTGAAGTTTATTTTGAAAGGTACTCAGCCTGTGAAGAGCGACGAGGCCCTTCCAGGTCTGCTCCTGGGCTCACCTGCCACCTTCTCTACCTCCCCCTTTGCCTGCCTGTAAGCTGCTTGGGAGGAGAGACTGTGAGTTACTGTTCCTGTGCTCCCAACAGCGTCTCACAAAGGAGTTAAGTGCCTAAAAGGTTTAGTAAGTATTCAAATATTTTTGATTGACAGATTAGAGGAGGAAAGTGTAAACTCATTACTGAAGCAAATACCATCACCTCCTTTTATGATTATCTAGTGACGTATGCGGAAAACTGTGTGAAAAAGTCATTACCATGTAATGTCATTTTTTAAAGGGCACATGGCGGGGGTGGATAAATAAAAGGTTTTGGCAACCTTTTCAAATGGCATATAGATCAAATGGTTTCCAGATAGTTTGTCACAATTATTTGAAGGTATTCTTAGACTCACTCATTCAACAAATATTTACTGGACACCTACTATGCCAGGCACTCTTCCAGGCACCATGGATACATAAAATTAATCCAACCTGGATCTTGATCTCAAGGTTTAAATTTTCGTTTTAGAATGTGAGATAAGATAGGCCGCAACAACACTCGGCAATGGATAAATAAACACCCAACAGAATCTACAGGGGTGTGGGTGTGGCCAGACAGAGGGAAGTGCAGAGGTAGTTCCGGAGAAAGAAGTTAGTCCCAGCACAGAAAACCAGGGGAAGGCATCAGGACGGATACCTGGCTATATCTCCTCGGTAGAGGGACTTATATTCCCAGTTGGCAGGGTCTGGCTTCTTATCTGTTCTGAAGGTTTCTTCTGTCAGAGCCTGAATGTCCTCAAGCCAAACAAAGCGCCGTCCAGCATCCGCAGCAGCACCATTTTCCCGGCTGTGGGGCAGGGGGAGGTGAGGAAGAAAAAGGGAGAGGCACTTACAGACCTTCCGGTTACATATTCCACACCTGCAGAAACATGAAGTTAAACATTTCGAACTCCACACGGCATGAAGGGAACTAAGGACATAAAACACCTACATGCCATACAGATGAGAAGAGGACGCTCCAAAAAAAGTTTTAAAATATAAATCAAAAGCTGTCAACACTAAGCAGCACTTTACCCAAAAAAGAAGTCATCTCAGAAATTAACCTGAAGAATATATAGGTGTTCTTTTTCAAGTATTCCATTTAAATTATTGTAACCTGAATTTCAAATATATTTGAACACAAGCTTTTTTCTTTAAAAAAGAAAAAAAAATGGGCTGCTCTCTCTTCACCTTATTTCAAAGTGCTCAGGTTATTGATTCCTACTGAAAACTCCACAATGATAACAATAAAAGCCACGGTTGTAAACAGCTCAACCTCAGATGTTACTTAGCCTTGGTCTAAGTCTCGTTTTTCTAGTCTGGGCTCTGGGGACAGAGTTTTGCCTGCATGTACTGACCTCCTACGTAAAGGGCGGAGAGCACCCACTGTAAGACAAGGCCTGATTTACCCCTTTGCAGCAATTCATGAGCTCGCAGGCTTCCGTCGCAGATACAAATGGAACCACGTCCCTGGGAGTCAAATGGGAGGGACGGAAGGATTTCTGGACATCTAATATCTTTCCTCCGCTAAAGAAAATCAAGTCATAATGCTGCTGACAGAGGGGTCACAGCAGCCACCACCTGCTGTTCCTTCTGCTTTCCAGCTCTGCCCAGAGAGAAAGGAAGATCCTGGGAGCCTGGGAATCATTCTTGGCTGGGAGTACAAGAGAAGGGTATTTCAGGGACACAAAGTAGCAATTCAATAAACATTCGCTGAATGTCCCAGCTCAGGTTAAAATACATGGTGATGCTAACTCATCCCCTCCAGAGCCAACGTGGAGGGGCTCCTGTTCGTGCAAACTGTAAGGGGCAATGAAGGAGGGAAAGAGAGCGAAGCGTTCCAGAGAAAGAGAAAGCCAACCGGGAGTGGGGAAGGGAAGGGCCAGCTGCAGACCACCCCTGGGGAGGGAACAAGCCCTCATCCCTCCCCTGTCAGGAAGTGAGGTCAGGAAACAGCTCGTGGCCTGGGCGTGCAAAGGGAGCGTCTGCCCTGAAGGCGAGGCAGCAGCCCTCCTAGGGAGCAAAGGTCAGCGAGAAGCTGTAGCCCCAGGTGAAGTCGCTGACCACCCTGAAATAGACCCGTGTGGTGCATTATCCGCCATGAACCCACTTAACTGACACCACAGAAAGACTCACTAATACCTTGTCAACAGGAAAACGAGCCATTCTCCCAGGCCACCTTCCCAGGACGAGACTCCAGACATTAGTTAATACCAAGAAAGTAAAACAGGAGGACAGAAACATTTTAATTTTTATCTCATTGGGGATCTTCTGCAAACTTGTTTGTTTGTTGATACAGCAACAAACTTCGAATTGTGCTGCCCGGAGCACAGAGCTCTCGGGAGGCTGCAGAGGCCCCCTCTGGTGTGGCGGAGCACGGGCTGAAAACCACTGCCTCTCAGGCTCTGACTGTGGTCCCTACGCGCATTCAGGAAACCCTAAGCCTGATCTTCCTCAGCTGTAAAGACGGACAAGTAGCTACCGGGGAGTTTTCCAAAGATACAACAACTAATTTATTTTCCTTTGAAGACATGCAAAAAAGCAAGAATATCAATACTACAGAGTCCAGCAGAAGTACACCTGCTTGACTGTGGTTGTCAGGGTAATAATACTGGTGAAATCATATATTGTTTTAATTTGAACATTTCACCTAAAATGTCATACGGTATGCTTGAGTGTGATACTGTTATGTTACAGAATTACATGTTTAAGACTCTGTAATAAAAAAGGACGTATTCTGTGCCAGACCCTGTATATTTATTCATTCATTCATTCACTCACTCACATAATGAAAATGTATTCATAGGATGTGTTACTACGGATCGGGCCCTGTGCCAAGGCTGCAGGCCTGCAAGGGCCCTGGCCACATAAATCAGTCACATTTAGACCTTTGCTTGACCCCTCTACTTCTCCTCCTAGAGCAAGTTTGGGCTACAAGTATAGTACCTGCGACCCACAGGGGGCTAAGCAAGCCTGGCTCCTCCGAGCCACGGAGGCCTGCAGCGCCGTCCCAGGAGATGACAGAGGACCCTGGAAGACTGGGTGTCCTCCTCCCTGACCTCCCTGACCTCCCTGACCCTCCAGGCTGGGTCCTCACATGCCCCCCACCCAGGGCCCTCCCTGCCGTCAGTGGGATGCCTAAGCGCACAACAAAAGGAAATAATCCCTCAACAATCGCAAAAATCTTAATAGCACTAATTTTTTTTAGTATGCTTTGGACACGTGCTTAACTATTCTCTCTTCTACATGGCAAGGACAAAGAAAAAAAGTTAAATGAGGAATAATTCAAGTATTTTCACCACATACTGCCTGTCCTGCCCCTGGGCAAAGTGCCTCCCTATGTAGCAGGACTGTCAGACCAGGCAGGGAGGAAAAGCTGTCGCTGAGCACCTACGCCGTGACCACTCTGCCGAACGGCTTGGACAATGTGCTCAAGGCAGACAACACTGCAACACAGGGAGACGTGAAGGCCCCAAGGAAGGGAAAACCTGTGCTTACAAGCTGGTTTATACCTTCAACACAGTGATTCTAAAAAAAGATGAAATAAGAAAAGGACAAACGCAACGATTATTTTGAGGGCTACAATCCACCTTCACCAAGGAGTATGGCGGGGGCGGGGGGATCGGAGAAGGGGGCTGGGAATGGGAATGACTGAAAGGAAGACACCACAACGAAGGGAAGACGTTTCTCTTCCCCTGCATCAGCAGGGAGGCCAGGGGCCCCTCGCAGTGACCTGGCCCCCGTGCCCACTGAGTGGCACATCTGCCACCTTTCAAAACGCCCACAGACTCTTTGTCTAAATCAGACTTCAACACAATCATTACTGTGCCTAAGTAACATTTCTCAAATAAAATCATGGCCCTCATCTGTTAAAGTTCTCTTTTTTATGTTGGCCCAATGGCAGAGCTCTACTTTTCCTCAGTTTTGTTGACTCTGTTTTGATTGAGTAGTTAAATCATCACTTCAATGTCTAACTTGTGGCAGTGATTGAGGGAGGAAAAATTAAAGACTTATTGTGAAATATCACAGGTGCTGGAGAATAGAAGACGTACTTCAGCTTCTCTGGTTCTTTTTTACCATCTCTAATGCCTCTGGAAGATTTGTCTCTTTCCGAATCAGCGTCTGACTCAGATCCACTGCTACCTGACTGCCCACGCCTTCTCCTGGTCTTCTTGTGGTGCTGATGCTTCCTTTTCTTCTTTTTCTCTTTCTTCTTTTTTCTGCTTGTTTGTCTGAGCTTTTTGTCTGTGTCACTTTCATCTGAAGGCTCTGATTTCAGTGGACTCCTGTTTGAGAAAATCAACATTAGAATTTTCACAAGAGAATTAGGGAAAATAATATGTAAGTAAAGTAAATCAAACAAATATATGAGAATATAAAAGGAAATTCTAAAAATGCTCACAGTGACTTCAGCTTCTAAATCTATGCTTTCATACCCATACATTTTTAAATGGAAGTGATCTACAGTTATTTTATCAACTATGGTATTTTTAAAAGCAACATTATAAAAGGTTTATTTTCAGTCTTACATATTATACCAACATGTTCTTAATGCAAAAAACAAACAAACAAACAAAAACCCCAAGCTTTAATTCTAGTCCTTGTTTTTAAAGGTTACATGAGCTCGTCATCATTGCTGAAATGTCTAAGAACAGCTCCCTCGCGTGCATTAACTAGTCTCGACTTCCCGAGGCTTCTCCTGCTTTTGGAACATGTGGCTTCCTGGGGTTCACCATGTTAACAGTCCAGCTGGTCTGCACTGACGAGACAGCACATTCTCAATTCGATGACTGACAGCAAAGTTCTTTCAAAGCTGGGGAGGAATGTGTACCCTTTTGTTCCCCCAAAGTTTTCATGAGATTTTATCACGTTACAGTTGGGATCCAGAACAAGCTACCCCAAGGCGGGCCTCAGGATCTGCAAATGACTTGAGCTAAAGGCAACTTAAGCTTTTGGCTCAGGAGAAAGTTCTCCCTTCTTCCTTAACTACCCAGAAGAATCTGAATCAGTGGCCTTGCCCATAAGAGATTATCAGGGAGAGCTTCTTTTGGCCTATTTACAGGGCAGAGTAAACTTCTAGTTACCAAAGGTTTGCCCCTCTGATCATCTGCAATGACCTTCTGCGGCCCCCAAGGAGCCTTCCGTCACCCCTCACTCCGGAGGTCTTCTACACCTCAGTGCCCCTTTCTGCCTCTGAACCGCTCACGCATCCAGGGTCTCTGGCTCCCTCTCATGTGTGGGGTTCCCATGCACACGATATCAAATTTGATTTTCTCTTGTCTATCTGCCTCCACTGATTTATTATTTGGCCAGCCAAAAAGAACCAGAGGAGGGAAAAGGGAATTTTTTCCCCTTCCCCAATTTATATTACACCAGCTCCTTCTATTTTTACAAACTTGTTGGAAATGCAACTAAAGAACTATCTGAATTCCATGTTTATCAACATTGTAAAGGTTACTAACGAGGTCAGTAAAGTTACTTAAGAATCACAAGGATGCCATTTCCCTTACGGCCTAATTACTGGCCGTAACTGTGTCACGCAGTTGCCACTGCAATGCAAAGGGGAAAAAAGACTCATCTGTAAGAGTGAGGTAAGGGAAAATAGTCTAAGATTGCCTCATTACTGGAAGAGTTTTACTTAGCTCTTTTATCACGGGGTTTCTGAGGAGCATCGTTTAAGCTAAGCTGTAGACAGTGCACTGGCAAAGACTAAAACTCCCATCTATCAAAAACACTACCTCGTCAGCGGTGACCCTTCAGAAACGAGCGCTGTGGCCTCTTCAGTTTGCTGGCTTGGAGTTGGCACGGTCCCAACACAAAAGCTTGGGTTGCTCAGCCAATCTAATTCTGCACATGCAAAAGAGAGACAAGATCCATGAAATGAGCTCACTACGATTTCTGAAGCAGGAAACCCATCTTACCAGCTGGTGTCCTAATTCGCAGCCAATGTCAGCCAAACACTTACAACAGTCCACAGGAGCCGAAGGGAGGCCATGAAATTTTCATTTCGCAGGGCATGGGGCTTTAACACATGCTAAAATATTTAAGACTGAAATCCTCTATGGTATCGGGCTGGGGCTTAAGCAAAAGCCATGTAACAAGTGTGGCCTAAAAGGCAACAAGGCTCTCGGCAGTCCGTCCACACTCTAAGGAGCATGAAGGCTTCAAAGCACTAGGTTTTAATGACCTCAAATTTGATGTAGGCAATTCCAAAGAGTTAAAAACCAAACCATGCATAAAAACCCACCATGCTTAAAATTGTTACAGATGATATTTTTCTTTAAAAGAATGTTCTATATTAGTTAAGTAACTTAACATAAACCATTCCTTATAAGAAACAGTACTCCCCTTTGAAAATAAACACACAAATGTGTCAACTTTTCTAACTAATGCTAAAATTATACAAGATGTTAACAGTGATTACCTCTGGGATGGTGAGATTAAATGTCTGGATTTTTTTTTTTTGCTCCTTATCCACTAATTTCTAACTCTTCTACAATGAACTATTTCTAAATTACTTATTTTCTAACTTTTAGGGGTCTTAGCTATGAAGGAAAGGAAAAAGGCATGGGACCACAGCAGCAAGGGAGCCCAAGCAGAGGCCTATTCACCCTGCTTTGTTTTAGGATGGGAGCCCAGGGCCTATTCATATGCTGAGGAGAAAGCACCCATGAAACCGTTGCAGTTAGAAGAGAGCAGGGCCCTGGCTGGTGTGGCTCAGTGGACTGAGCTCCGAAAGGTCACCAGTTTGATTCAGAGTCAGGGCACATGCCCGGGTCATGGGCCGGGTCCCCAGCTAGGGGTGTGTGACAGGCAACCGATCGGTATTTTTCCTCCTCTCTTTCTCCCTCCCTTCCCCTCTAAAAGTAAATAAATAGAGAGAGAGAAGGGTAGATTTTTTTAACAGTTGTACTGGGACATAACTTATATACCATAACATTGAACCATATAAAGTGTGTAATTCACAAGTTTTTAGAATATTTAGAGTATGGTACAATAGCACCATGAAGTAATTCTAGAACATTCTCATCATCCCAAAAAACTCCATGCCTGCTAGCAGTCTCTCTCCATCATGCACCTCCTACTCTCCCACCCCAGCTCCCAACCTTAAGCAACCACTATTTTTTCTCTACAGATTTGCCTATTTGGGACATTCACTCTGCACAAGATCATACAATGTATGGTCTTTTGTAACTGGCTTCTTTCACTTGATATGTTTTCAAGGTTCATCCCTATATCACTACTTTTTCCCTTTTTATTGCTGAATAATATTTCATGGATTATACCACAATTTATCCATTCATCAGTTAGTGGATACTTGGGTTGTTTCCACTTTGAGGCTATTATGAATAACACTGCTGTGAACATTCATGTGCTAGTTTTTATATGAACATATGTCTTCATTTCTGTTGGGTAGAATATCCAGGAGCAGAACTGCTGGGTAACTGTAGCATTCTGAGGAACCACCAGGCTGTTTTGCAAACTGGCTGCACCATTTTACCTTCCCATTAACAATGTGTGAGGATTCGACCTTCTCTACATCCTTGCCAACATGTTTGTGTCTTTTATATTATAATCATCTGAGTGGGAGAGATGGTTTTCTCATTGTAGTTTTGATTTCCACTTCTCTGGTGACTACTGAGGTTGAACAACTTTTCATATGTTTATTGGCCATTCATATCGGAACAGAAATAGCTATTCAAATCCTTTGCCCATTTCCTAACTGGACTGTCCTTTTATTATTGAGTTGTAAAAGTTCTTTATATATTTTGTGTTGCAATCTCTAGTGACAGGTACTTGATTTTATTCACTGCTGCATCCTCAGCAGTGGAAACAATGTCTGGCATATATTAGTAGGAGTTTAATAAATATTTGTAAAAAAAAAAAAAAGAGGTGAGGAAGGAAAACTCCTAAGGAGGAAAGTACATTAAAAAGCATGGGAAAAGGGGAAAGAAGAAAGGGGTTCTAATTTATTAAGTGCCTACAGTAGGCCAAGCACCAGGTTACGCACTCTACATCCCCTATCTTTTAATCTTCACAGCAACCCGCTATGGGAGGTATTATGATCTCTACTGTATAAAGAGGAAACTAAAGCTCAAAGGGATTAAGTAATTTGTAAGGTCATACCCAGTAAGGGCTAAACAATTCTTCACACCATCTTTCTTCTACTGTCTCTTTTTTCCTTTTGAGGGTGTTTCCCTTCCCTTGGGTTTAATTCCTGGCAAGAGGCATGTGAAAATAGCTCCTGTTGTTCTCTGAGATCACAATTATTTCCACAATAATTGGATTCTATAATGAACAAAGGAAAAGTGGGGAAAGATGAAACAATATGTGAGGAGGGATGCTCTCAAATAATTCTTGTACATTTTTACATAAAGATTCTAGATAGTAATGACAGCTTGGACGAAAGACAGAGTAATACAAATGTCAAAATAAATAAGTAAATAAAGTGTGTGACTTTCCAAAGTCTTTCAAAAGGTTCAAGAAAGGGTTTTTAAGGATGCAATTAAGGCTTTGCCATAAGGGATCTCGGGAGGGGCAGCGGGGGGCGGGGAATGTAGTTTATAAAAAACTAAAACTGATGGACTGTAACATCACTAAGGGAGAGAAAATTAGACAGCAGATCCTCCTGATCTGATTCAACACCAAGTGCAGGGCACCCCCAATGAGGTATTTTCAACTAAAAAAAAAATTATGCCTGAATCTTATTAACTCTCTAGATCTAATTACTAGTTCACAAGAAATACTGGGATAGAGAAGCATATTAGACACCATGAGGATTTGGGGGAAGTGTGCATAGAACAAATGACCTGGTTTCCACAACAAACAAATCACAGGGGTAAATGGAAGGGAGGAAGAAACTTTTGTATTTAAAAGAGACCTGAGAGACAGATCCACAAAATACAACGTTGGATCTTTTCTGGATCCTGTCTTGAACAAAGCAACTGTAAAAGGCCATTTCTGAGATAAGTTGGGAAATCTGAACATTGACAATTAGATGATACTAAGGAATTAGTTAATTTCATTATGAGTAATAATGTTGTGTTTAAATTTTTTAAAATACAGTACTTTACAAACAGCACTTTTACAAACATTATCCTGATGCTGGGTACCCAGAAGATGTCCAACAAATACCGGTTAAGATAAATGCCAAGAGCAACACTCCTTTATAAACCTTCTACTTCCCCCTTTCAAAATCAAAGCGTAAACCCTTGGCCCATTATTCAAGTCACGACCCTCCCTTACCACCAGTCCCAACCATAATTCCCAAGGTTCCTCTTTATGCCTCTCAATTTCCAGACACCTGGACTATTTGCAGTTCCCTGCAGAGGTCTCATGCTTTCCTTCCTGCAGGCATTTAAAGGCCCTGGGATGCTCTTCCACTATCTCTATTTATCCTGCTCCTACTCTGTTCAAGACCTATCCCTAGAGTTGGTTCGGAGAGAAAGCCTTTCAGGGGTGTACCGTCCACAGCCTGCGGGCCGCATGCCCCCAGCATGGCTGTGAAGGCAGCGCAACACAAAATCGTCGATTTACTTGAAGCATTATGAGATTTTTTTTCCCCCCCAGAGGAAAAAAGGGTTTCATACAATGTAGTATCAAAAAAGTAAAAGGAACACACTAAATGCACAAACGGGTGGCAAGTTAAGTCCATAGTCCATTGTGATAGGTCCTTCCAGCACCAATCAGGTAGGTTTCTTTTCATCTGTTATCTCAAGGTTATTTACAGACATGGTAACTTTAACAAGAGTCTCTCACAGGAGGGCAGGCAGGCTTCAATCATTGGTTTCCGGATCTGTCTGTGCCATGTAGGCATCCAACTCAGCATCCAAGTGTCCTTTTGTTTGTGACATGTATGCACCCAGTTGGTTGTCCAGCTGCTCCTTGGTCAGTACAGGGCGAGAAAGGGCACCTCTCCCTCGTCCACGGCCTCGGCCTCTGCCTCCAAAGCCCCCTCTTCCCCGACCTATCATACCCCGACCTCTACCACCAATTCCGCCAGGACCCATAGCTCCACGCCCTAGGTCCCCTCTCCCAGGACCTCCACGACATCGAACACCACCTCTTCTTAAGCCCATTCAGGGAGGTACGGCTCGTCCACCTCAGAGTAGGTTTTGACCTCCGAGCGACAGCCCACCCCCAAGTAGGGTTCTCGAGGCACGTCCCCCACGCAGTCCTCCTGTGGGCAGGCCTCTCTGGATAATGGGCAGGCCTCGTTCTCCGACTGCTCCCCTGGCCAGGGCCCCTATGGGTAGGCCTAACTGTGCCTGGATGTTACTCTTACCCAGGCACTGCTTTAAGTTCTGCTTAATTTTTAATGCTGCCTGGCCAGAGGGTCTATTCTTCATCTGCTGGGCCAGTCTTCTGTTTCTGGCACTGGCTAGCTGCTGTTGTTGCTGCATCGAAGCCCGAATATTCACTGGCATCGGCTGTTTGTTCTTCAGCATATTAGTAAAGCGCTCATTTAGAGACATCTTGGTGGTGCTTTTTAGCACAACTTTCGGCGCTGACTGTGCAGCCATCTTCAAATCCCGAGGACAGAAGGAAAAGGACGCCGATGCTCCTCGATGCTCCTCCCGGGGCTGCCACGACGGCTGCGGAAGGCGGGCCGGAAGGCGGGCCAGAAGCCGGCCGAAGCTCAGTTGATGGTGGAGGGGCTCGGGTTAACTTGTTTGGCAGATGGCTAGATGCGTGAGCGGTGGACTGCTAGGTTAGTTCGTTGTTGTTGGCTGGCTGTCTGATCAGTCGGTCCACCTGCTCGCCCGGCCTGCCCTGCCCTTTGCCTGTCTTTCGTCTCTATCACCACAGCCACTGCCGCCAACTCCCGCTCGGTGTCCAAACAAAACGGCCGCCACCGCATTGAGATTTTTTTGTGGTTACATGTCCCAATGTATTTAATGCGTAGCCCAGAGACGCCAAAAGGCTGGACACCCCCGCCTTATATGAACCTCCCATCGAAGCCCTTATCCCTGTAGTTCACCTATGACATCTCTGACATCCTACTTTGTATTGTTATTTCTGTGTTAAGTACCTACTATTGGTCTATACATTCAGCAAATATTTACCAAACACCTATATGTTGGGCCCATGCAAGGGGCTAAGTATGCTGCAGTGAATAGACAAACACTGTCCCTGACTACATGGAGGGCACAGTCACTAAAGGATGACCAAAATTACACTGCATAAGAAATTAATCACAATTATGGTAACTGTTACCAAAAATAGGTGTAGGAGCTATGTGACAGGATATCAGAGAGGTGTCCGACACAATTGGCCTTTGCCACTTAAGTGCATGACTTAGAATCGCTTTAATTGCAATTCACTACAGGCACACCGCCTTTGAGTTCCGCTTTCCTGTGCTTCACAGGTGTTGAGTTTTTTACAAATGCAAGACCCTCCACCAGCAACAAGATAACAACTCGCTTCACTGCGGTGGTCTGGAACCAAACCCTCAACATCTGCGAAGTATGCCTGTCTGTGCTTCAATATTTAACAATATAAACCTGGGGGCCTTTAAGGCTTAATATGTAATGCCATCATCTGGCACACGGTAGGGTCTCAGTAAATAGATGTTAGTTCTCAGTCCCAGCAGCTGTGCCTGTCTGGAGAGAAACTGAACAGGCTTTGGGGTCCTGATTTCCCCCAGCTCTAGGTCTGCCTAAAGATCTGAACGCAATAAACATTTCAGAAATAACTTACACAGGAAAGAGGGCATTAAGAACACCCAGCATTGGAGTCAGGTGTCTACTTGAGGTGAAGCAACTGAGACTCATCGAAAGAATGATTTGGGGGAATCTCCTAGGTCTTTCTCCTTCCGTAACTCTACAACTCTAGTCCCCAAAAAGCCAGGACAGGACAGAAGCCCTTCCCAGAAGGCTTTGCAGCGCCGCGGAGAACTCTGGGACACAAGTGGATAAACATCCAAAGCAAGGGCCGAAGCCTGGGGCTGAGAAGCTATATCTTAAGCCCGCCGAGTGCCCTCTTCATCCCTTATGTGTGCTTACCTTTCCTGGAGCTCCCGCTATCGGGAGCCTCACTAACACCAGCAAAAGCCGGAAACAGCGCCATGATCACAGGCCGCACCGCCCGGCCCGGCAACATATATGGCGCCGGCGAGCGGACGCCGGTAGTGCGACCTTCCTGGTCGCGGTGCACTCTGGGAAGTGTGGTTTTCCCGGTCCTCAAGGCCGCGGACACTGGACGGGGCGGGGCGGGGCGGGGCGGGGCGCGGCGGGGCAGGGCAGGACTACTTCCCAGTAATTGATTCCTGCGGGCTTCTTTTCCGAACTGGAAAAGACGGAGACGGAGCAATGCAATTGTTCAGAGCAGGAAGTGCTAGGAAGCTGGGATTCCAATTCCACCCCTGAACTCACACCATCACTTACTAACTGGGTTAATTTAATCAAACCCTCTAAGCTCTAGTTTTCTTGTCTGCAAAATAAGATTGAATGAGCTTGTAGGTTAGGTGCTTAGTTAGCATTGTGCCCGGCCCATGGAAAGCACTTAATAAAAGTTACCTATTGTGTGAATTGTGGCTGCCATGTAGGATATCCAAATTTCAATCAGCTTACCATTTTAAATATTATAAGAACAAAAAAGTTTGCCAGTTCCAATCAAGTTCAAGTCTTTGCTAGTTAGAAAATATATTTAAAATAAAACTGTAGTTGGTCAAAAAAAAAAAGAAAAAGAAAGAAAGAAAGGAAGAAAGAAAAGAAAATTTACCAGCCTATGAAGGATTCCTAACTAAAATAATCATCATCATCGTTAGCATCATCATCAAGCCTACTAGAAATATAGGGGATAAACACTTTAAAGACTTCATACCACCTAGAAGGAATCAGCCAAATCCAGAATATAGGAAATTATAAAAAACAATCCAGTTGCTTCAATAATCAATGGCATAATGGGGTGGAATATTGCAAGTCATGAAAAGAATTTGGAGACCAAATGCAATACGTTACATGGCCTCATTATGATTCTGATTGGAAAAATTATAAAAAGACCTTTTGGGGACAAATGGAGAAATAAGAAGTAAGCAAAGTATTAGATGACATCGAGTAATTCTTAATTCTGTTAGATGAACTAATGGCAACGAAGTTACTTTTTAAAGCTCATATATTAGAGACACATGCTATAGTATTTACAGGTGGAAATAAATAAATGAAAAAATATTTTTTGAATCTGTAGGAGTTCAAAGATCTTTAGAGTTAGGGATTTCTTGGAATGAACTAAAAATGGCTTCAAATTATGATTTGGCTTTGTATGTGGCTTGACTAAAGGAAGAGAATGCATTACTCAACCACTTTTAAGTATTTGTTCTTTGTGACAGAGATTACTCATCTAAATTGGTACACTGTTATTCTGGCATCTACCTCACTTTCTAGAGTAGTCTCCTTTAGCCTGCATCTCCCTCACAGATCTTGATCACCTCTGAACACTGACAAAAGTGAATATTTTCTCTGAAACTGGAGGGAGAAAAGCTATGTGAAGGAAAAGGGGGAAAGGAAAAATTGTGCAGGACAGATGTGTGAAAATGGGGCTTTATTTTCATAGCAGAGGAGTTGGATGAGAGATGATGTACAGTCTTGATCTCAGTAAACTAAGCAGCCAAGTCGACTGGCCATGAAGAATAAAAAGGAGGTAGGCATGGGTAGGGGCTGAAAACTACAGAAAAAAGGCCTTAAGCAATGTTGTAGAGAACACAATATGAACAAAAGGATTGCCAAGACGTAGTTAGACACAAGATAAGTTAGGTGCACAGTACCTGTTTGTTGGCAAAATAGCACCTACATAGTTCCCATTTACTTTTGCAGAAGGACATTTTAGAAAAAAAAGAAAGGTAGTGAACACCTTTTCTTTTGCTTAATTAGCACCCTGTTTTGTGAATTGACAAGATGGCCATGCTAGCACAGTGTGGCCTCCCTGGCCTGGCCCCATCTGGTTGGTTGTTCAGGGTAAGCATGTGACTCAATTTGGCCAAGTTTTCGGGTGGTAGGTACTCAACCCAGCTCTGATCCAAGCCAGACCAAGAAATCTATTGCCTATGACTGAGACAGAGAAGCTAGTATGTCTTTGTGTGTCTGGACTGCAAGATATAATAGCCCAGGAGCTAGTGGAGGAGCAGAGGAAACCTCCTGTGGAGGGAGAAGGAGGACAGCAAATGTCAGCTGGAGAAGAGGGTCCCGGAGATATTGGAACTCTACTTTTAGTTGTCACTGGAACCTCATTTCTATGCTGGGATGCTGGGAAATAGCCCAATGTCCTTATAATACATTCCCCATTTCAGTGAAACAGATTCAAGTTGACTTTCTGTCAGTTACAACCAAGAGACCCAAATAATACAGAGTGACAAAATGAATGAATGGGTAAATTACACCATTTCCACACTCAAGGTCTTATTCCCAGAGTCTGGAGGTGTTCCAACTAGTTTCAGCCATCAGTGAGACTTCTAAACGGGTCTACCCAGAGCATGTAAAAGCAAACTCCTTTCATCTTAAGAAGGAAAAACTCCTCAGCAACTCAGGCCAACGGGAGAAACTGGTCTATCAACTCATTCAATCTCAAGAATTTTCTGGTAATTCCTCTGAAGTAATAGAAAGAAAATGTGCCTTTGGAAACCAGAGATATCAGCAAAAATATCAAAGAACCTGCACCACTTCATTGGTGTGATTTGCATTCTCCTCCCCTCAGTCTTTCTCTATTTTTGAGTTGGGTAATGAGAGTAGGAATGTCTCAGGTCGAAAATGCCTTCATATCTGGACACAACCCCAAGTAAGAGTTCTTAAGTCATAGCTAAACTAGCCTATTTATATGCCTAATCACAATTCACATACTCAGGAATCTGCCTGGAATAGGTAAGGATTTGAGAAATTGCACAGAAATTAATGTCAGCAACAGTAGTTAATGGTGTAAACCACTTACAATCTTTAAAAGCTTTAGGAGAAGCTTCAGGTTTACCCTCCTTTGAGGAGGGTTGTATAGTCAGGCTGAGGGCATTTTTAAGAGCCTTTGATAAAAGTAATTTTAACCAGGGTTTTAAAAGATTAAATGAATTTTCTTGGGTAGCTTACTCTTAAACTAACACTTCGTCCCCAAAAGCCCTGAAAGTATTTTCAGCTTTTGTTGTGACGAGAGCTCTTCCAGAAAGGGACATATGTTTTATGTTATATTGCTAATGAAAGAGACCAACAAAACAACACAAATCTTTTATATTTTTATACTTTTTTAATAAGCAAATAATTAAATCCCCACTCTTCAGGGTGCCTTTCTCTGATTAGGAAAGTGACATTTTAAGAACTGATTTGATCTCAGTCTCCATGTAAAAACTCCTCTATCTGGTTGACTTTTGCCTTTTGTTTTTCTGGCAGTTCTCCTGGCTTGTAGCCGCATGTCTTTTAAGTGTGGGGTTGGAATGGCTGGTTTATTTCCTCCCCCTTCATTCCCATCTGCACCTCTCTTTTCACTGCCTCCTCCATAGCCAAAAAAAGCAAAAGTGTGAATTTTTTTCACCTGTAAATTTCCAGTTGCAGGTGCAAGTATCTAAGATAAATTGATTTCACCTTTTGCCTGCCTATTTAGGAACACAAAGAGGAACAATCCTCTCCTTTCATTTTAAGCGCCCAATACTTAAATGCTGAATGCGGAAAAAAAGTTCTAAAAACAGTAAAGTATAAAAAGATGGGCAATAATCACCCAATTTCCATTACCCATAGACAAACACGATTTTGAGTGTCTCCACACAGGCCTTTTCTTTCTCTCCCTCATGCTTTTCAGGTATCTTAGTTTATGAGTACATTTTTTTCATCATAGTTGTGATTACTTTTCTTCCTAATATAATACATAAGCACCTCTCTGTTTTAGTACAAATCTCATAAACACATACTGGACGTATAATACTTCATCTAATGGGTAGGATGATAATGTTCTTAGCCAATCTTTATTTCTAGGTATTTAGCAAACCTTACTTGTGTCATTTCATCGGTGTTATCTGTGAGTTCTCCAAAATATGGATGGCCAGGCAGGACCGCCGGCCACAAGGTCTTCAATGGTCATTTCGCTCCTCCGCCAGTAGCCAAGAGGGACATTTCTGATGATGAGCTGCCACTGTGCTAGAGCATGAGGAATAAGGTGCCAAGAAGGGCAAGGGGACACTTTCTAAAAAGACAAATATAACTTCAAGGAATAAAGGCAGAACTCCACAAAACGCTTATTCAGTAAAGTTACTGCACTATGTGCCGGCAGTACATACAGACATCTCAACAATTAGGCCCAAAGACGCAAATGCGAAGGTTGTCTGTCAGTGAACAAGGAGCACAGCCAGCGCTGAGGAGGTGGGGGTTAAGGGCCTGGGAGGGCACCACAGCGGCAGAGCTGCTTACCTTGACGAGGGAGGGGGAATTCACTGGACAGGCCAAGAAGAAAACAGAGGAGGCAGAGGATGGAGCATGTGCAGGATCTAAAACAGCAAGGTGTGTTCAAGGATTCTCAGCCAAGGCAGGGAGGTGGACGAGGCCGGGGTGAGCCTGGGAAGAAGGGCTGGGACAGGATCCAAGGAACATTGGTACCATGTGTTGGACAATAAAGAATTTCTCTGCTCCTTTTCCCTGGTTCTTCCTCAGAGGTAAACACTAAATCCCTTGGAATTTCCTGAGTGGTTCTTTGCTATTCATGGTGGGTCTCTGACCACACCGGAGTTCACGCGAACAGTATGACTCAGGATGTGGACTGCCCAAGGGCCGTGTCATCAGAAGGCTGGGGCTTTGAGCCAGCTGACCTCTAGGTAGTTGGGGGCGAGGGGGATGGAATTGAGTTCAATCACACCTACATAATGAAACTCCAAAACTCGAGACACCAAGGCTCCACTGAACTTCCTGATTGGTGACTGCATTAATGTGGGGGAGGGTGGTACATCCTGATTCCATGAGGAAAGTGCACAGAAGCTCCACATTCACGATGCTCCCAGCCCTCGTCCTAAATGTCGCTTCATTTGGCTGGTCCTGATTTGTATCCTTTATAATCAAACTGTAATTGTTAAGTATACCACTTTCCTGAGAGTCCATGCTTTAGTTGGTTAAGGGAACTCCTGAATTTGTAGCCAGTCGGTCAGAAGTGTGGGTAGCCTT